ATCCAAAATGTGGCCCGGGAATGGAGTTCTGAGAACTCGAAGAGCACGAAGTGTGTGACTGTTGCATCCGGCCCTCCAGAATGTGGCCCGGGAATGGCGTTCTGGGATGTCGAAGAGCACGAAGTGTGTGACTGTTGCATATGGTTATTCTAAATGTGGCCCGGGAATGGCGTTCTGGGATGTCGAAGAACACGAAGTGTGTGACTGTTGCATCCGGGTATTCAGAATGTGGCCTGGGAATGGAGTTCTGGGAAGTCGAAGAGCACGAAGTGTGTGACTGTTGGTGAAAAACGAGCCCGGCACCCTGCCGCCCGGCAACTCCCCAACACCTGCCCGGACCCCCCTGTGGAGTGATCTGTGAGCTCTTTTGAGACCACTAGAAACCTATCAGTCTTCGCTGTTAGGTAAAAATGTGACGAACCGAACCGAACCGGAAGGATTAACGAACCGACCAAGAAACACTTCGGATCCGAACCAGACCGAACCGAACCGTAGGAGTATACTACTACGGCTCGGTTTGGCGATGGCTGGTGTCTCGAAAAGCACACAGAGACTGCACCAGATAGTTTGCACCAAATAGAATGCACAAATAGCTTGCAACGCAACCCCAACCATTGCTTGCACTCAGGTGCGCTGAACTTTCTTTGAATAGATAATTCTGGGTGTTCGCCCCGTTGCCGCCCGTGCCGTCTCGTGGGCGTTCGTGGGCGATCCGTTCGCTGGGGAGGGTGCTAAGGCTGCGGCACGTTGCCGCCCGTGCCGCCTCGTGGACGCTCGTGGGTGCCCCGTGCGCTGGGGAGCATTGCTGAGGTTGCGCCTCGTTGCCGCTCGTGCCGCCTTCGTGGCGCTCCGTGCGCTGAACTTGCACCACATAGCTTACACCACACAGCTGAAACGACCTAGTTTACACCATATAGCTCACACCGCATAGCTTCCACGACATAGCTTACACTACAAGCTTAGAGCGCATACGTTCCCACCATCTAGCTTACACGACATAGCTCACACGACATAGCATACACCACAGAGCTGTCACCTCCACAACTCGCACCAAATAGCTTGTACGGCTTTGTTTGCACAATATGCCTGGCAATTACAAATGCAAGTATTCACTGTCCAGGACCCACGCTGGCTAACATCTGTTCAAATAGGGAACCAAGCTCAAACCCCATGCCGAGGCCAAGCGTAACGCGTCCCATCCGTGTGCTATGCTTGGCAATGATTCATCACGGCCGTTCAGTTTGAAAACGAAGTCGTATCGTCCCAGCTGAGCCCGTGGTGACGTCCCCCCTTTGTATGTAAAGGAAGACATGCAATGCACGCGCTTTGGTCCAACAATCGCGTGCAGCACTAATCGATGTCAAAGAACATCGTGCGGGCCACACGCGTCCCCGCACGCACAAGCCGAAATCATCTGACACATGTCTGCAAAAACAAATGAGTCCCTACGCAGTCTCAAACGATAGCCAGCGTGGAGCCACAGCAGTAAGTTATTTCACGGTGGATGTGCGAGCTCTGTGGTGTAAGCTATGTGGTTCAAGCGATGTGGTGCAAGCTATATGCTGCAAGCTATGTGGTGCGAGCTATGTGGTGCAAGCCATGTGGTGCGAGCCATGTCGCACAAGCTATGCTGTGCAGGCTACGTGGTGACGGGGCAAGGGAGCGGAAACGACCGACAACGGACGTCCGCGTGGCGAGTCCTCGGCGGACCCTACAAGTGAGCGGCAACGAGGCGGCAACGGACGTCAGCATGGCGAATCCTCGACGGACCTACCAAGTGGGCGGCAACGAGGCGGCCACGAGGCGGCCACGAGGCGGCCAAGGGCGGCAACGCGGCGAAGCCTCGGCGGAGCCCACACGTGAGCGGCCACGGGGCGGCCACGAGGCGGCGACGCGGCGAAACCTGGGCGGACCACCCACAAGTGGGCGCCGAAGAAGCCCACAGGAGGCCCCTAAGAAGCCCCCAAGAGGCCACCGAGAGGCCCCAAGAGACCCCCAAGAGGCCCCAAGAGACCTCCCAAGAGGGCCCACAGAGGCAGGAATTCGTGATTTTCCAATAGTTTCTAAGGGTTTTTTTGGCGTTCTCGCCTTTTCGGCTTACCGGCGCTTCAAGACGGCCGAAGAGGCTTCCAGGATCGCCTCAGCAAGGCCCAAGAAACCTCCAAGAGCGCCCAGAACGGCCCCTAAAGGCCCCAAGATAGCCTCAGAGGCTTGCAAGATGGCCGAAGAGGCTCCCAAGACGGCTCCACGAGCGGGCCCAGACGAGGGACCCGAACGAACATGTCGAGCTCTAGGCGCAGAGAGGTCCCCTGGAGGCCCCAAGAAGCCCCCAAGAAGCCCCCAAGAGGCCCCCGAGCGGCCCCAAGAGACCCCCAAGAGGCCCCAGGAGGCGGCAGAAATACCGCCAAGAGGCCCCCAAAGAGGCCCCCAAACGGCCTCCAGGAGACCACGAACATAAGAGGGTGCCCATAGGTTAATGGCTACTCCTGTTAGATAAGACCATGCGCCCACCCCCAGTGATCGCAGTTCGAGGTCGCAAAACAAACATAGCGCACAGCATGCAACCATAGATTTATCCCGTCAGCTCAATCGAAAAACATCACACGGGCCACACACGCGCGCCCACGCTCGAACACGTCGAAACCATTCAAGAACACACATGGTTCTGAAACAGCTAAGAAGAGAGCTAGTCAACAACATGTGCTGGCAAGCCCCGACCCCAAACAGTAATGTGTTGCACTGTGGGAGTTGAAGTCACGCGGTGTAAGATATGCCGTATGAAATAGGTTGTGCAAGCTACGTTGTGAAAGCTATGTTGTGTCTGGTACGTGGGGTGAGCTAGGTGGTATTAGCGATGTAGTGTGAGCTGCACGGTGTAAACTGCAAGTGCAGTATGTGATAGACACTATGTGGTGTAAGCCATAAGGCGTGAGCTATGTGGTGTAAGCTATGCTTCGTAACATGCGGTTAGTTATGCTGAGTAAGCTACGTTGGCATGTTCGCCCAGAGCCCGCACATCGATTTCACCACGCGGTCCACCCGCGTTGATCCAGCATGCGCCCAGCGCACGAATCCCCATCAAATCATATCATGCGGGCCACCTGCGCGCGTCCGCCGCGCGCGCATGGCCTTTTCAAGAACAAAGGTGCGAGGGTTTTGGGGCTTCCGCGCGCGCACTTCCTTACCATAACACTCACCAGCGCCGCCGCACAACGTCATCGTCACTAACAGTCGCCGTCGTTGCCGCCATCATCACTCAAGCATACTCGTCATCGACATCAACGGACACCAGCATCGCCATTGGTATCACACGCATCGGCGCCATCATTGGCATTACCGTCGTCATGGTCATCATCGCCACCACCTTCACCACTATCAACATCGTTGCCGCCGTGGCCGACGTCATCATGATACCGTGACCGCGCTCGAACCAGAGACCCGAGAAGTGCCCTCGCGCCAGCGCGGCCTTTCACACGCGCTGAGAAGTTCCCATCGCTATGTGCCATCGCGGCCGCATCGGCTGCGCCAAACCAGCTGGCCGCCCGGCCCGCGAGCTTGGGCGCGCCAGCGCGGCCGCAGAGATGCGCTAGCCATGGCCAAGCAGTCATCCCTATCGCCGCCTCATGGGTCGACATCTCCGTCGTCATCGTCATCGGTGCCTGGTGAGGTGTTGCCCGCCAAGTTACGGGGGGGGCGGCTGCGACGTTTGAACGAGCATGGGAGGTGGTCACGCGCGGTACAGTGTAGTCACTTGAACCCCATAGCTTGCACCACCTATGTTGCATCAAATAGATTGCACGAAATAGCTGGTATGGAACCACACAAGGTACATCGTTTGTAGTGTATTATATTGAACACAGCACGCCGGTTTCACCTTGCACATACTGCACCAAGAAGATTGCACATCGAAAGAGCAAGAGCCCGCTAGGCTAGCCCTCTCGAGCCTTCTCGGGATGTGCCGCCTGAGGCTGCCGGAGGCCAAAACTGTCAACAATGTTGATTAATACACTTCGTTTACTAGGGTGGTACGCCCTGCCAGGTGCCTGGAACCTCTCCCGCCCAAAACGACCCCAAGAGCCTGCACAGACACACCAGAGGCCCCCAGAGACCCCCAGAGCCCCACCCCCGAGACCCTCTGGAGACTCCCAAGGCTCGGCGGTGGAATTGGCCGCATGCACGTAGATACTATGCGGATACAAGATACATCTCTTAGGAAGACTGAGCGAATGCCACATGAAGATTGAATACGATTTGGACACTGCGTGAAAGCTGCACGAAGCCGTTACCGTAGTTTGAGCAATAAGAGGAGTACCCAAAGGCTCATGTAGAGTTGAATGATAGAGAAAGTGTATGTTTCGAAAGACCCAGAGTCACGATGTGCCGCCGTTTCTGGGCGCTCCTACTATCATCATACTACATCGCCAATGCGCATTGTACGAGCACCGCCACACCAACGCTACGTGTTGGACTACATGTTACATGATGTCTCCAGCGTTTTCGAAGGCGAAACTTGAACCTACATGTAATTACTCAAACCACTAGCATCGTAATACTTCCAACGAAGTGTGGTGCAGAACTACTGCGCGAATGCCATTCCAGAAGACATGCATCCACAGACTCCCCGTCGCTTCCCGAGGCCCACTGGGCGCCTTCTGGGGCCAATGGGGGCCTCGCGGGTACTGCTGGGAGCCTCCTGAGGGGCGCCTCCTGAGGGGGGCCTCTCCTCTGGGGGGCAGAGCAGCCCCCGGAGGAGGAGGAGGAGGAGGAGGAGGAGGAGGAGGAGGGGGAGGAGGAGGAGGAGAAAGAGGAGGAGGAGGAGGAGGAGTAGGAGGAGGAGGAGGAGGAGGAGTAGGAGGAGGAGGAGGAGGAGGAGGAGGAGGAGCAGAAGCAGAGTGGTGAAAAGCGATCGGCTGTAGCCCTCGGTCGGCCAGCTGCGCTGCTGTGAGACGGCGGCAAGAGTGCGGGGCCCACCGCGCAGGACCGCCCAGGCCCGCGCGCCGTCAGGCCGCGGGCCCCAGCGCGGCGCGCTGGGAGTCCACGAGGTGCTCCAGCAGGTCGACGTCGGCGGAGATGCCCATGCGTGAGGCCAGCTTGAGGAAGACCTCTCGGCGGCGGCGCGCCGACGAGTGCGGGGTGAGTGGCGGGCAGGCCTCTTCGGAGGGCATTCTGGGGGGGCTTCTCGGAAGGGACCACCCCCACTCGCGCAACCATGCCCGCCGCGCCTCCTGAGTGCCCGGGGGGGGGGAGGCCTTCTCAGGAGGGTCCGGCGGGGAGCTGCGGCCCTGCCCGCCTCTGCGCGCAGGGCCCAACGATACGATGAATCCCAGGTGCGGCGCAGCACAAGCCATATGGAAGGACACGAGGTCCCCAACCGCCCTGGGGCAGGCGACCCCCACGGCGGGTGGGTTCGCTTCGCGATGTGCCCCGTCCGCCGAACCTCCTTGGTCATGTCCCCGGTGAAGGCCTCAGCGCCTGCCAGGAAGAGCTCCTCGCTGTCCGCCTGCGAGACCTGCGGCGTCATGGCGGCGATGAGCGCGGAGAACTCGGCGAACTGCAGCCAGCCGTCGCCGGAGGAGTCGTAGAGCTGGAAGAGCTCTCCCATCAGCTCCATCTCGTGCGCCCGCTCCTGGGCGAGCGACCACGCCGCGGCCCACATCAGCACGCCCTCTGGGCAGCGCAAGACCCCGCCCTTACGCCACGCCCCGGCCAGGCGCTCCAGGTTCGCACCGGTGACCTGCACCCCCGCCCGCATGGAGCCCGGGCCGCTGGGGGCGCCGCCTCCGAGCGCCACAGCGGACAGGGCGCTGGCGACGAGCTCCGGCTGCACCTGCAGGTCCGCGTGCCTCACGACCAGCTCTGCGGCCAGGGAGGCCTCCAGGCTCGAGAGCCCGGTCGTCACGTTCAGCGACGCGCGCACCAGGCCCTCCGTGGGCGCGGCCTGTGGGGCGTCCTCCAGCACGCGAGCCCAGAGCTGGCCGATGATGTCTTCCTCGTCCTCGGCCTCGGGCTCGCCGGCGCCGCCCGCCTGCTCGCGCACGTACGCAGCCAGGAGGTAGGACACGTAGAGTACCTCCCGCCCCGAGGCCTCCCCGCCGCCCTCGAGGCCCAGGCCGCTGCCCTCGGGCTCCTCGCCGGCGCCCTCCGCGGCCGTTGAGGTCCCGTCGCCGGGGAACTCGATCAGTGCGAAGAACGAGGCCCAGAAGAACCTGGAGGTCGCCTTGCAACGCGCGGCGATCGTGCTGAGGGCCGCGACGACGGCCGAGTGCATCGACACTCCCGCGCCGCCCGCTGCGTCGCTCTGCTCGCGCCGGACCATGCCCAGCTCCCGCGCCACGGCGGCGAGGCAGAAGGCCGCGTCCAGAGGCAGGTCGTTCAGCGCACGTGTGTCGAGGCTGAAGCTCGACAGCCACCGGACGATATTCCGCTGCTGGGGCACAGCATCCCCCATCGAGGCCGCCGGCTTGATGCCCGCAAGGGCCGCGAATAGCGCCACCTCGTAGTTCTCGGGCATGTGCTCAAGCACCGAGCGGCACAGCCGCACCGCAGAAGATTCGACGTGCTTCGAGCGCCCCCACTTCAAGAGGTAGAAGCGCTTGATGCAGCCCTGGAACAGCTGATCGGACGACGTCTTGACGAACCTCACGGGCGCCGCATCCTCGAAAGTGGACAGCGACTCCCAGATACTCTGGAGCTCTGACTGCAGCGTATCCAAATCCATCACCTCCTCGGCCGCGCCATCGGGCTTCCCCTTTGCAGGCGCCGCCACCGTGCCCTTGTTGACGCGACGGCCCTTCGCCTTGTGTGGCGCACTCTGCTCCTGCGCCGCGCGGATGACGCGCCTCCAGAAGAGGCCGTCGCTCGCGCCAGTGACGCTGGAGTCCCTGTCCTGCACGGGCATGATCCCGTTCAAGTCCTGCTCCTGGGGGGACGACGAGATACCGACACCGCAACTCCCTGGACCTCTCTCGGGGCACGTCCTGACCAGCATGTCGAGGAACATCCAGCCGTGGCGGCGAGGGCACTCCAGAACGAGCAGCAACGTCGGTATCCTTTCCTCCTCCGAGCTCCAGCTGCCGGATCCGCTCCCGCAGGCCGACCGTCTCCACCATCTCCGTCACGGCCGTCCAGAGCCCCCCGGGGTCGAGGCCGTCTGCCAGGCGTCCAGCGTGCTGGCTGCCCTGCTCGCGGAGGAGGCCCACGACCCACGCGTCAAAGCCCTGCCGTCCCGCCTTCTGCAACATGGCGATCTCGTCCTCCAACTGGACCACGCAGGCCTTCTGCCACAGGCGCTCCACCTTCACCTTCTGGCTTGCGAGGCCGCCCAGCTTCGACACGCTGGACACATGGCGCAGGGCCTCGGGGGGGAGCTTGCTCTGCGCCTGAAGGGCTTTGAGCTGGGCCTCCACGGCGAACTCGTCAGCCCACCTGGTAGGGTCTGCCGCCGTCAGCAGGTACGTGTTGGTGACAGAATTCCACTCGTAGCTGCCCAGCGCCCGGAACAGGCGGCCGCAGTTGGCCACGAGGTCGTCGTACGTGAACCTTGACATCTCGTCTGGCAGCGGAGCAGACTCCTGGAAGAAGAAATCGTTGTCAGTCTGCGCAGCCCGCCCAACGGAGAAAGACAGACCCACCCTCTCGCCCGAGCGCTCGGCGGCCGCGCCGCCCTTCGAGCCAGTGGCTTCGGCCTTCGAGCCGACGCTCTTCGAGCCGACGCTCTTCGAGCCGCGCATCGGCTGGTCGCCCCTCGATCTGGCCGGCGGCAAAGTGGCGCTCTTGGACACGGGCCCCGATGCGTCCGGCGGACCCTCCGCCGCCTCCTTCGAGCTGGGCTTCGATGCCGCCGGGGCCGCCGCGGCGTCCACGACGACGAGCGGCGGCTCCGGCGCTCCCGCCGCGGCGCCCGCGCCGGCGGCCGCCGCAAGGTCCCCGCTCTGCTGCTTGGCGAGGGCCTCCCGCAGGGCCTTGTTGTCCAGCTGCAGCTTGGCGATCGTCGCCTTCATCTCCTTCATCCGGTCCTGCTGGGCCTTGGCGGTGGCGGCGCTCTCGCTGAGGGCGGCCTGGTGCTGCTCGTTCTCCCGCAGCAGCTGCGAGTACTCCTCCTCCTGGCGCGCCAGCGTGGCCTTCAGCAGGACGGCGCGCTGCTCGGCTCCTCCAGCCTGGCCGCCCGTCCCGGCGTGCCGCGACGCGATGTGGGCCAGCAGCTGCCGCTGCTTCTCGGCCTCCTCCCACAACCGGTGCAGCCGCTCCACCTCGCGGCGGCCCTGCACCACGAGGCGCTCGGCCTGCCGCACGCAGACGAGCGCGACGCGGTCGAAGACGTGCGACATTGACGGCACGAGGCCCTGCGAGAGCTGGGCGAGCTGCTCCATGGTCTCCACGAAGCGGCCCAGTGACCGCCTGGTGTCGTCCACCGTCGCCTCCCACGTCCGCGACTGCCGCGTCTCGCCATCCACCAAGTCCTCCATGCGCCCAAGCACCTCCGCGGTCCCGGCATCCGCTTCCGTCTGGGAGACGAGGCCCCGCAGCACGTCGTTCAGGGCCCACATCGTCCGCTGGGTCTCTGTCTCCTTGCCGTCCAGGATTCTCGCCACCCGCGCTAGCGCCCCCCGCTCCGGGTCCATGAGACCAGCCATGCGCCCGGCGAGCTTGCTGGCCTTGAAGTCCGCGTCGTTGAGATCGTACGCCACCTGCCTCACCTCCCCAGGCCGCAGGTCGATGCGCAGCATGTGGAGGTCGTTCTTCTGCATGGGCTCGCTCTGGAAGACCTCTTTCTCTGGGCTGACCGGGTCCCTCACGAGCAGCGGCACCCGCGAGGCGACCTGGATGCTCAGGAAGGGCACGTGGCTGCCGCACGTCCGGGAATCGCTCGACCGCCGCTCCAAGTCGAGGGTGAGGATGCTGCCCAGCTCCGCGAGATCAAGGGCCTGATCCTCGTGGCTGAAGCACACCCCGCTCGTGTTGTTCACGAGGCCCTCTTGGGGGCGGCGGAACTTCTCCAGCCAGTCGTTCTCGCGGCCGCCTGTCACCAGGTCCCTGAACACCGTGCAGCTCGCCGCCGCAGCGTACTGCGGGTCGGAATCCGAGGGTGGGAACGCACCACCCCTCTGCATGAACACTGCCGTCTTAGCCTCCTCGACCTCGCGCTCAGCCAGCTGAGCCTGGTACTTTGTGAAGTGCTGGCCCTCAACCCCCGCTGCGGCGGCCGCCCTCTGCGCCCCGCCTTCGGCGGTCTCGAGAGGCGCGTACAGGATCGAAGGAAGCAGGTTGGCACGCAGCTCTCTGCGCCATTGGTGCGAGAAGCCGTCCTTGTTGCTCTGGAAGACCCTCGGGGTTCGCCGCAGACGCCGCCTCGAGGCGTCCTCCTCGCCCGCCTGCAGGCTCATTGCCTCGACCGCCGTGGGCCGCCTCGTGTGCTCTGGACCGCCGCGAGCCCCCAGCGTGGAATCCAGGGGAGATCCACGGCTGCGGTAGTGGGTCCTGTCCGTGAGGGACATGGCCTGCCTCTGGCGGCCCAGCTCCGTGAGGCGCGCGGTGTCGAACGCCGGCAGCGTCGGCGGCCCCGACATGGCCGCCGAGGAGGCGCCGCGCGGGCGCCCTGGCGGCAGCATGGCCGCCGCGGAGTTGGCGCGGGGAGCCAGCCGCCTCCTGTGCCAGAGGTCGGTGATGACGACAAGGAAAGGAAGGAGGAGGAGCAGCAGCAAAATAGACACACGATGCCTAAATGATGCTGCAAGACACCCGCTCCATCCAAGGACCGCACCCCAAGAAATCCACACAAGCCTTACTTCCGCGTCCTGCGTTAAGATGGAAAAGCCTTTTTTTCATCCTTTTCGCGAACAGCCAGGGATGCGAAACGGTGTGATCATAGAGTTCGACGAAAGGTTCAGTGAGATCGCCAGTTTGAACCAAGACCGCCCCGTCTGTTTTTTTGTTGTTTCTCAGGCCCCTAAGAGACCTCTGGTACACCAGGTGCGCTTGAGGCCTCGGACGGCGGTTGGCGAACATCCTCCCGTGGCAACAGTCCAACTGGTCGCGACGGCGGAGCAATAACAACTCGGCAGTCGAGCGGGCGAAACAAGGCCAGAGGAGAGGAAGAGGACAACAAAGAGGGAAGGATGAAAACTGCACAAACGGAACTGAGCGCTGGTTATCGCCACTGCTTAGGAGAACGGCCTCAAGCAAGAATCGTGCGAGTGCGGAGCGATACGACCTACCCCAGAATAGTGCCGGTAAGACCGGGTGGAGAAGAGGAGGAGGAGGAGGACGAGGAGGAGGAGGAGGATGAATAGGAGGATGAGGTGGAAAAGGAGGAGGAGGGGCGAGAGAGACCAGCCATTAGCCGGGAGCAGTGTTCAAGCCAACCTGCAATAGGCGAGCCATCGCGCGCACCCTGGGACTGGAACAATGGGCAGCGGGGCTGGCTTATAAACCGCAGAAGTCGTCGCCCGACTGTTCGGCAGTCTGGGCGCTCACATGTCCGCTGCAGTGCAAGCGAAGAGACAGAAAACAAAGAGAAAGGCAGGCAGCAGCGGACAACAATGGTACAAAAATACCCCGGGTTCGTATCATAGCGAGACGGGCTGGGCTACCCGAGATACCAAATACAGCTAGTAATGTGAAGCGAGCGGCGCTGCGAAATACGACCGCGCAGAGAAGAGGCGGAGACCCCTGGCAGCAAGCCCGAAAACAGGGGAGGGAGAAATTCCCTACGAAACGCAAGTTTTGTACGGAATTTCCCCCTTCCATGTCTTGGCCCCCGCCCGCGGGGGGGAGGAAGGAGAAACAAGAGACAGACGAAAAAAACAGGGTAAAAACTACTGGACTTCCTCACGAGGCCGTTTGAAAGTGATCCTGACGAGATGCTGTGCGCGTGGGTGTCCAGAGACCGCATCTCGGACGCACCCGCGGAACGCGTCGGCCTCATCAGCGGCCCGGAGGCCGTGTCGGACGGCGTTGTGCGTTTTATATGATGCGAATACCCCGATCGCCCGGAACGCAGCCGCCGTGGCCCTGGTGTTGACGTCCCTGCAGTGCGTGGGTAGAGAGTGCTCGTGGGGGCGAATGCCCACGAAATCGCTGAGACACTCCTCCGCTGGCGGCCGGCTGAGTCCGAGACACTGGCGGCCAAAGGTATGACATGTAGGAGAAAGAGCGCACATAATGCTGTATACTGTCTTCCCCACGCGGGCAGAAGAAGAGGCAGCCCCCTGCCCTGCCGAAGCGGCGGGCGGTGGTCCAACTGTTCCAAGCAGAGCGGATTTGACGCGCTTGGACACGGGGGGGGGGACGAGGGGGGAGGCGAGGGCAAGAGCGTTGAGCCACCTCGCCGGGCGGCGGCCAGGCAAAACGTTGAGCTGCAATTTGTCCCATCGTTTCCTACTGCGCCGCGCCGCAGAGGGAGGGGGAACAGCGTAAAAAAACACGAGCCGCCTGCGCTTGCCACCCGCTCCGTTCCTGTGCAGCGGGGCTTGCAGGGTCGAGGAGAGAAAGCACCGCGCGCACTTGCCGCTCGGCTGCTGTCAGCTCAGTGGTGGCGTCGCGGAGCGAGAACAGAAAGTGCTGGTGGATGTACTGCTAGAAATGCCCCACCCGGGTCTGCTTCCTGGCGTCGCGGCTCAGCCGGTGGAGCTGGCGAGCCCGCGCTTGTATCCGGAGACCGCCGTGCGCGGCGTTCTCGAACCTGGCGACCCTGGCCATCGCCGCGCGGGCGGCGGAACGGACGTCGGGGAAACCTTTCGGGAACCTCATCGATTTCAGATCTTTCAAAGCATCCACGGAGAACCAATCCTGAGGGCCGCGGAACAGCGCACGGCACGCTTGCAGCTCGATCGCGTCAACGGAGCACGGCAGCGGGTCGAGCAGCGCGACGAACATGACGACTGAGCTCACGAAAACCTAGTAGGCCACGAAGGTGTCAAGAAGGACAAAGCCCAGTTGCCCCTTGAGCATGGCCCTGTCGGCGAATTTCTTGAAGGGGGCATCCCATGAGCTAGTGCCGCGGTCGGGGCCAACGACCATGCAGAGGTACTTTGGCAGTGTCCTGGATCGGGAGGGCCCCCCATAACGGGGCTTCGCGGATGAGCTGGTGACGCACTTCATCGCACTCGTAGCTAAAGAGTGGCACGAGGACGGTCTTGTTGACACTAATCCGCAGGCCAGAGATACGCTCACACTCGAGGAACATGTCCTGAACGGCGCCGAAGTGCTGGAAGATAGCAGGGTGCACCAGGGCTGCGCCGTCGGCGCGAGCGCGCACTCGACTCCCTGGGTAAGGCCACCCAGGCGCTGAAGTAAGATGTCCGACACCGTCGCGAACAGCAGCGGGGACAGGGGGCAACCTTGGCGGATGCGCCGTGCAGGGTCGAAGTCAGCGCGTCGCGAGCCGCCCGGAGCGATGGAGCACGAATTTCGGTAGCACAGGCAGACGATATAGTTGACCAGCCGCGCTGGCCAGCGGAGCTTGCGGAACACTGCGAACAACATGTCGCGCTCTACGGATCGGAACGCGGCGGCGAAGTCGAAGAACAGCGCCCCGCCCTCGCGAGATGTGCACGTGCCCATCGCCATGGTCTCCTCGATGTCAACCAGATTGGCTAGCACGCTACGCCAAGCGATGAAGCCCCTTCTGGGTGTCGACAATCTTCGAGCCGAAGACGGGTCCCACGAAATGTCGATCAGCGCTCGCTAGAAGACGATTGTCGGTGTTGGTCACGTTCAGCGGCCTCGTGTTCTCTGCTGTGAAGTAGCCCTCACCTGTGGCCATGGTGCCTGAAGCTTTCTGGGGCAACAGGAACAGCAGGCTCGCATTGAAATCTGGCCACTCCTCGTCGATGGCCGCGCAGCCAGAGTCGTCCATCAACGCGCGCACTGCGTCGAAGAGAACCGCAGTGGAGAGCTTGATGCAACGTCTCCAAGCGAGGAAACTGATGCCATCGGGGCCTGGGAGGGAATTGCTGGAACGTTGGATGGCGCGCCAGATGTGGCGCCTGCAGAGGCGGACAAGCGCAGGGGCCGCATCGACAGTGTCCCCGTCGCCCCTGTTGCCAGCGCCCTCGTTGAGCCACTCCTCGAGGAGTGTGTGGTCGATGCCCTTCGCGCGGAAAACGCCCATCCAGTGCCTCCTGAGTCCGCGGCCATCTCGGCGGCGCTTGTCAGGATCTGGCCATTTCTGACCGGTACAACCGACATGCAACCAACTCTACCAGGAGCGAGCCTGAAGATCAGGCGCAGGCTCTTCTGCCTCGCCTGAGAGGCCTGGCAGCATTGCCACTGACGAGGTCTGCGTGCGATTGGTTGAGCTCTTCAAGGGCGTGCTCTCTGGCCAACTCGGTCGCGTGGGCCCTGACGGGCCGAAGGCGGCTTGTGAGATTGCCCCAAATGCCGTAAAGGTTGTCCATCAGCTCGGCCAGGTGAGGGTAACGCTCGATGCAAGCAGAAATGCCTCCCATCATGCCGTTTCCGACGTTCCGCATGAACTTTATCGTAACGCCAAGCCGGTCTTCAAGGTCCACGGCAGCAGGAGGCCTGCCCATCGCGGCGTCTAGCCGACGGGCCACTTCTTTGATGGAGCCTTTGATCAGCTGTAGTCGGCGGATCGGCGACGCCAGCGGTTTCTCCTGGAACTTGCGGTGATAGTCCAAAGCCAGCAGGCGGGGAAAATCGTCGCGCTGCAGGGCGCGTTCGGACACTGGCCGCTCGTGCTCGCGGTTCCTGTCGGGCGTACTGCGAGATGCGTAAGCCGCCCTGTGCGCCGACAAATCAGGGCACCATTCCATCGCAGAGGCACGGAGGCATCGGTCCAGCTGCTCCGAGGCGTGGAAGTTCATGTAGAGCCGGTCCACCCGCGCCCTTGAAAAAGTTGGTGAAACCCGTGCACGCGAGCAACAACTGTTCGGAAGTGGCTCTCCTCCCCCTGGTCCCGCCTGCCCGTGTTGGAGCGCGTTGCTTAGTTCGTTCGGGGGGTCTGAGAAGAAAAAAAAAAAAAGGCGTTCAGAGGGTCAGTGGGTGGTCGTTCGCGCTGCAGTGCTCTCTGCGATGGCAGGGGTGGCCAGGCCATGGGCGGCCACTGCGAAACGCGTCGCGAGCAACGAAGCCGACGATGGGGTGATTGTACTTCGTGGGTAGGGAGTTGACAGTGAAAGAGGAGGATGGGGAGGGTGGGGGGAGGGGGAGGATGCGGAGCGCGAAGAGCGCAAAAAGGAGAAACGACGGAGGGCACACAACATTGCCTTGGGTCCCGTGCTCGGTCTCATTCGTGATCTTCTGTGCTTCTCTCTCTACCTGGTCTCAGTTGCAGCATGTTCATCCACCGCAGGGCTTTGTCTCCGAGGTCGCAGGCCCCCACGGCGTGGGGGTCTGCGACGCGATGGCGGTCCTGGCGCAGGGCGAAGCCACATAGCTGAAGCCCCCGCCGAGGATGGTCAGCGCCCTCGCACTCGATGAAATCCTTCCAGCCAGGCGGTTCCGCACACGCGCCCGGAGGGCTGGGAACGACCTCGGCGCGGCGTGCATCGACGGGTCCACGCCGAAGAGATCCTGTTCGGTAACGCTCGCCCCCGTGGGAAAATAAGATACGATGATGTCCAAGGTGCCATGGGGGCAGCTTAAGCTTGGCGGCCCCGCCGGGCCAGACAACCTCGAGCGGGGCGACGTGCGAGAAAAGCCTCCAAGAACGAGTTCTTCACGATGATGCCGACCCACGCGTGCCCTGGCGAAGCGCCGGCCGACCACCAGGCGGTGGTGCCGGTTGGAGGCCTCCAGGTGGCGTTCCCAGCATCGGTGCCGTGAGTTTCTGTCAGCAGGCAGACGTCGGACCTCGCGACAGGCTTGTGAACGTGAGAGGCCTTGGCCTCGTGGCGCGCCGGGTCCGTGGCGAGGAGGGCCTGCGCGTTCCACGGGGTCACCGCGACGTCCATTAAGAATCGGCCCTGCCTGGCCCCCTCCTGGCGTTGAGACCACCCACCGTTCGCGGGGTCTTGAGGGCAGGCGTGGAGAGGGCGTCCGGCGGCAGCTCGCCCAGGGCGCGCAGAAGCCTCCGGTGGCGGTGTATGGAAATGGGCACGTCATCTGGATTGGCTGTCAGAGACTGGTCAGGTGGCAGTTCGCGATCACCAGAAGCAACTGCAGGAAGAGGAGGAAGAAGTCGGTCGAAAGCAACAGCGCCAGAGGGGAGAGCACATGGCTGTGGGTGGTCCCAGCGGCCGGGCCCCGCCCGAGCCCTCTCCAGCATCGCTCGTGCAACGAATTCCAAGCCCATGCCCAGGGCCGGAGAGACGCCCCGAGTCTGGGCGGTAGCCGCCGGGGCCGCGAGCAGCTGCCGCCTGCCATTTCCCGGCAGGAATCCCAAGTGCATCGGTGTGTTCATGACCTCGATGGCGACGCTGTCGGTGCCTACGCGGACCGTCTGCTCACGAAGTGCAGCGTGAACCTTGCGGACTTCTGCAGTACTGCGTAGCAGGATCCGCAGGCGACCTGGGGGCGCGAACTGGTCCCGGGAGGCGAGGTGGTGTGTAAGTGTTGCACAAGGTTGCATGCTCGCCCATGAAGCTCAAGGAAGTCTCAAGTGATAGCTCGTTTTGAAAAGGAGCCACCTTCCATCCGTACAGCCGTAAGATATGTTCAACGTTCTGCTCTTCTTGATATGACTAGAGGAAGTCTCAAGCGAGAGTGCTCCAACCTTGCAATGTTGTGAACTTTCAAAACGAATGTGCACGGAGAAGGAAACATATGTTGAAACGGAACCGCCCTCCATCCTTGTCGCTGCTGCAAGCGTTACAAAAACGAATATGCGCGGCGCGTGGGCGGAAGTCACACTTTGCAAAGGAGCCGCCATGCACCAATCATTGCACCTACGACCAAAATTTGAATGCAGATGTGCATGGCGCTTGGGCGAGAACCACGTGTTGAAAACTACGTTTCCTCAATTCCGTTGTACAAGATAGGCTTACATATTGCTTAGCCCCATCCAGCGATGCCGCCGGATGAAATGGAGCTGGGGAGTCGGCAGGCTGTCCTGTCGCAGGGCCGTCCTCGCCCGTTTCTGCCTGGTGAAACGAAGACGCTGGAGCGGAAGACGAGCTCCACACAGCTGAAAGTAATGTGCTCAATCCTTTCGAATGTTGCAGGCTTGCTTGTCGTAAAAATCAGTTCTGGCTGCTCCAAAACATGTGCGCGGTCATTTCCGATAACGACTCCCCTCCATCCGTGGAGCTGTTGCCACTTTGAAGATTCACGTTCATAAATGGCGCAGAAGCCTCAAGCGAAAAGCCCAGCCCGCCCTGCTAACACTTCCGGTGGCGCGACAGGGGGGAGTTATCTTCTATTCGGAACAGGGATGGAGAAGGTGGAGGAGGACCTCACCCCACGGGGGCCTGGGCGAGGGCAGATGACGAGGATGGGAGGGCACGGGGACAGGAAACAAAGAGAGAGCACCAGACCGCGGACAGGACCGAGCCAGTCTTGCGTATACGAGCTGCTCGCTACCGGCCGCGTTCCCAGACGCAGTCTGGACGCCCTGGCGAGCGCTGGTGCAGGGAAGGCAGGGACATGACTAGACAAGGATCTAGAGCCAACGATGTGTTTTTCAATGGGTCCCACGTCCTCCCCACGGCACTGGCAGAGAAGGGGTGTCGTAAGGAGCAGCAAATAGACTCGAGGGGAGGAACGGGAGGATGATGAGGAGGACCATGGACAAGGAGAACAAGAAAGGGAGGAAAAGGGGGGGCGGGGAAGGGGGAGGGGAAGGGTGGTCATCATCCTCCTTGCCCTCCTCCTCCTTCTCCCCCTCCTCCTCCTCCTCCTCCTCCTCCTCCTCCTCCTCACATCCTCCTCCTCACCACCTCCTCCTACTCCTCCTCCTCCTCCTCATTCAGGTCCCCCCCTCCCCCTCCGCGTCCTCCCCCTCCCCCTTTGCCCCTCCTCCTCCTCATACGGGTTCCGCGGAAGGCGGCGAGATGGACCCGGCAGGAGTCCTGGAGGCTCGCACTGGTGCCCACAAGGTGGTCCTGCAGCCTCACGAGGAGGTGGGCAGGTCGTTGCCGTTCAGGATGGCCAAGGCCTGCTGCGAGCCGCTGTAGCAGGATCAGGAGAGGGGAGAAGGAAGGAGCAACGGCAGCAGGAGAGGAAGGAGGAACGGCAACGGCAGAGGGGAGAAGGGAGGAACGGAAGGGAGGAGGTAGGGAGTGAAGAGTTGGAGGACCACCTAAGTATACCCAGAAGACACACGAACCAACCCCCGAGAGGCCTCAAAGCGGCCCCGAGACAACTGCAAGACGTCTCAAGACAGGCCCAAGACTCGCCCGAGATGCCCACTGGACCGCCCGAATACTCCGCAGGATACCCCCGAATCGGCGGAAGACCAGCAATGGCTTTTTCGCGATGGCATCAAGACCCTTCCGGACTGCCCCACGGTTGGTTTATCCGACATCGTGCCCGTGGCACGTTGAGGCGTGGTAGAATGGCAAAACTATCTGGTAGGGCTTCGGCCAGTCTCACAAGCTCACCCCACCCAACGAGCCACTCTCCGTCGCATGTACCGCCCCCCCCTATGTAGGACACATGGGCGGCCCGACACCTCCCTGGGGCTCTCCCAAGATCTTCAAGGCCATTCATACGGCCCAACATTGCTTGAAGAGGCACCCAACAGCCTCCAGAAGGCCCCAAGAGGCCCCAACAGGCCTCAAGACTCAAGAGGCTTCCAAGACATCAAAAGGGGCCAGGAAGCCATCCACCAAGGCCAAAAGAGCCAGTATGCCTGAGGTTCCCCGGGCCTGTCAACTCAATGTAGTTTCGAGAGGGCCTCGGAGGAGCCACAGAGAAATTCACAGAGCTGGAAGCCCGGAAGCCCCCCAAATGGCCCAGGACAGCCTCAGGGCTTCAAGATTTCCCAAGAGGGCCCAAATGTGGCCCGAAAAGGTCCCAAAACACCCCCCAGAAACTCTCCAGAAGTCCGAGAGAAGCCTTAGACGGCCCAACCTGGCACCAAGACGGCCTAAGCGAGCCACAAGACGACCCAAGAGAGCCCCAAGAAGGCTCAACGAGGGCCTGGCAGGAGCTCAAGACGGGCCGCATGAAGCTAGATATCCTCTCATCGGGAGAGCTCTGTAGAACCATCGCGCCTCAGACGGCGAACCTCGTACAACTGGTGGGGCCACCGTAGAACCAGATTGGTCAATGGTAGAAGCACCCTGGGGCCATGTCGATGCTGCGCTGGCAGTGTGGCAGGCATAGAAACAGGAAGCTGAATCATGACAGACTCCAGGTTGCCATCTGCCTATGGCACGCGAGGTCATGATTGCACCGCCATGCCAGCGCGACCCTGACAACGGCAGAGAGAGAGTGGATGCCTTCTGGGACCAACACGGGCGCTATTGCGATCCGAGGCAAGAAGTACTCATGTGACATGCGTGCCACGCCAATAGGTTTGAAACCGTTGCGCGGCCAGAACGAATCAACATACGTAGCACGATAAACATGCCTGGCTTCATGCAACCGTCCCACACCGATACGGCAAACGAGCGCTCGGGGGGGGCTGTCTGGGCGGACGAGACCCCAGGGCTGTGGGACGTGTTGCCCTCCTCCCACAGCTGTTGACCCTCCCCTCCTGCTCTTCCTCATGCCGCTGCTGCTGCCTCCTCAAATGTTCCACCTCCCCCTGCCGCGTGCCCCGTACCCTGCATCCGGATCCCGAGCCAAAGCCCTCCACCTCCTGACACGTTGCCTCCTTGTCCGCCGCGCTTGCGGCGCGACCCCTGGCCTCCTGTAAGGATTGGATCTCCTCCCTCCTGCGCACCACCCTCTCCTCGTAGGAGTTGCCCAGGTCGATGCAGGAAGGCTTCAACCTAAGCTGCTGCACGGTGCGGCGGCGCGCAGGCGAAAACCACCAAGCTGGGACAAGATGGCACCCAAACAGGCGGGACGCTGCGAGGAGCAACAGCTGAAGAAGAGCCACCTGAAATTCGGGATCCGATACAGCACCTGCGTACCGCTCGAGATGCCCTACACCCTGCGAAATGCTTAAGAAACCATGGGTTAAGAAATTCAGAGTCTCAGAACTGGAATAAAAACCCAGAACTTCTATCAAAATCTTGGGATTTACATTGACAAGTTAAGAATAATCAAGACTCTGGCCGAAAACTTAGGTTTTCTTATGCATCGCCTAAGGTGTAGCCAGCAGTGCCCATCCAGACGTCCCAACCCACAGGCACGCGCAACACACAACCACACGCGGACCACACCACATCCGCCGACGCCCGCCTGCCGGGCGGGATAAGGCGTGTCAGATATGTGACTACGGTAGGTTCGTGCGGCGTCGGCGCGCGCAAAGGATTTTAACACCGCGTCGATCGTTCAATCTTGAATCGATCGTGGCCCCGATCGTTCAAGGTTGAATTCAATTGGGTCCAATGGCGTTCCCGCGTCTTTCGGTGCTTCCGCGTCGCAGAATTCAACCTTGAACGCCTTCGCCGGCGTCGCCGGCGCGCCATCGCCGCACGAACCTACCGTATCCCTCCCCCTCATTCCTTTCCCCCTCCCCCAATCCAAAATTGCGCTTAAGAGGGGGCAGGCTCCTCAACGCACCCCCTGGACATCTGGAGCTTCCAAACTTGCACCCAGCGGCCTCCGAGATGCCCAAGATGCCATCTCACCTGGCTCAAACTGGCTCCAACATGCCACGGAGAGATGAAACAGAACCAAGATGGCCTCAAGACTGCCCAAGTGGCCCGCAGGACGCCCCACGAGGGCTCCAAGAGGACCCACCAGAAAGCCCCAAGAGGCAAACATTGTCCCACTCCCTTTGGAAAATGCATACTTTGCGGAAGTTCGACTCCTCGGTCTCATCAGCGTCCCAGGCTGCTCGAGGGGCCCCAAAGATCGCCTCCAGGCGGCCCACGCAGCCCCCAAGACCAACACGGCCCAAGAGGGCCCCGAGACGGCCCAAGAGCCGCCCAAGGTGGCACCAAGGGGCTCCAACAGGACCCCAGAGACCGCCGGCAGGCGCCCAAGATGGCCCGAAGCAACCTTAAGGGGCCCAGAAGATGTCCCCTACAATGTCCCAAAAGGGTCCCCAAGACGCACCCAAAGGACTGCAAAAGGTTTCCAGGAAACCCACAAAGCCTTACCTCGTGCACTTCTTCATCGTCCAGCACATCGTCGTTACCCTCCTCATCACTCCCGCCATCGCCATCTAGGCGGCACCGCATACGCGCTGCAACGTTCCCCAATATACCCCCCAGAAGAAAAGAAGTTGCATGTCTCATGTGTATCTCCTCTCGTTTGCAATTTCCACCTCAAGCAATGCCCCCCAAACAACGGAAGGCTCAGAGCAGGAACCCAGATCACCCACCTTCGGCTCGCCCACGATCTATACCTCCAACAGCCCATCGGAAGGTCCAGGCAACATTCAGACACTCCCAACCTGAGGGCCCGTGGGGCCTCACCCATGGGCTTTTCCATCGTCCAGTACTCCGACTTCGTCGTCAACATCACCACCAGCATCGTCTTCTTGGGGTCGGCGGATAGTGTGCGCCTCTTGGGTACAGATGATCGACGGCTGTGTCTGATTTTGTGGCGTGCTCCGGGCGAGCCAGCACGTCCTCGGGGCCAGCCCGTTCCGATGTTCTTGCCTTCGCCGGCCGTCCCGATGCTTCAACGATCTCCGCATCTGTTCCCGTACGTCTACAGCCACTACCCTCCCACATCTACACGTCGTTCATTTCTAATCGTGCGCATTTCTATGTGTGCTCGTTTCTAATTGTTCCTGGCCCCCTAGTGGCCAGGAAGAGGCCCAGGATAGAACAACTAGAAATGACAGGATCCTGGCCCCCCAAAAATCAAGGAATTTTCGAAGATTTCGAAATGAACAACGTGTACTGCCAAGGATATGCTACGTTGACTTTCTGGCTTCCACTCTCCAGTCTCCGCCCTGCATCCCTCGGCCCTCTCTCTTCTCAACGTTCTGCCATCAGTCGACCTAGACCGGCGTCGTCGTCTGCGGGAGGCAAGATAGCGGATCGAGTCGGGCTAGCCAGAGCCATCGCAGCAGAGGCGTCAGACTCCCATGTTACTTTGTGCTCGCTGATCCCTGCCCCGTCTCTATGTAGTATGTGTGTGTGTTTATACATCGGCGCTGCGAAAGTTTTGACCCGCTTCGTGCTTCCACCAAGACAATTCTTAGGCGGGAGCGTCATTGCGAATTCGAGCTGAAGAAGTGCCAACCTAGATTTTCGAGGAAATCCTGGGCGGGGGCACCACTTCTAAATCAAACCAGAAGGGTGTCGAATTCCAAGAAGTCCTGGGCGGGAGCGCCATTTCAAAATCGACCCCGAAAGGCTTCTTCTATCTGTTTCGAAGGAAGTCTTGGGCGGGAGCGTCATTTCGAAATCGAAACCGAAATTTTCGAAATCGTTCGACGCTGTTTTTGGAGGAAATCTCAAGCGACCGGCGTTTCGAAATGGCCGCACCGCATGGCGTTTGACATATGAAACTTCTGACCAGAGATTTCGAACGTGTGGTTTTCGCTTGAGGCATCATTGAAAAAACGATTTCGACTGGACTTCAAAACCATCGGGCTCGAATTCGAAAGGGCGGTTCCTCCCGAGACTTGAGCAAAACAATGCTTGAACAGAACATTGTACTGGGGCCCTGCGGCTTAACAGGCCAATTTGACGTTTCCACTTTGTCCGCGTGCGCAACGCCAATGACACCATTGTGCCGGGGGCCCGTCGCCTAACGGGAAGCGCTGCATGTCGGCCAAACCTTCGCAGCGGCGAAGTATTACGTGTGTATACATATAGATGCACGTATACACAAACATACATATACATGATATGCTCTCTGCTCGCTATTCTTACCCCTGTGCTCTCTAACCCCTGCTCGCTCCCCTCCGATCCCGGGTCGCGTCCGACGTTTGAGACCGAGGCGCCAGGTCGCAGGGTTCGGGTTTCGGGAGGCCTTCCAAGTCCGCGGCCAGCAGCTCCAGAGGCCGAAGCTCCCGAGGCCCGGGGCTTGAGACCGAGGCTCCAGATCAGGACGGCTCGGGGGGGGGGAGGGCGGGGGGGAAGGGCCCCCTGCCCCCTGCCCTGGGGACCGGGACGGCTCGAAGACTGCCAGGGCGGCCCGCGAGATGTCTCCACGGGGCCGGGGGGGCGGAGGGGGGGGGGTCGGTGGCTCATAGATGGGGGGTCCTGAGTGATAGGGTCCTAAGGAGGAGGTGCCTCAAACAGTGCAAAGCCACCATCTTTGAACCACCGAGGAGGGGGGGGGGGGGGCAAGCGACCGAGCGAGACCCGGCGTGCGGGACCGGTTGTGTGGCCGTCCTTGCGGCCGATGGCCAATATAGAGTGCCACTGAAGAAATTCCTTCGGCCACCTTCCATTGAGAACGGGGACGGGGGGGGGCGGGCGCCGCGAACCCTGCGATCGCGTCCTGCCTCCGCTGCCCGCAGGCCAAAGGAGCTGCAACAAGTGCGGGACCAACCCCTCCGCGGTGCGCGGCGCCAGGCGGCGCGGCCGAAGCCTGCCGCGGCGCACGAGCGGCGGCACTTCGGGCAGGTACTGGCCCAGGTCAGCGCAAGCCCTGGTCGGTCAGGCCCTAGAGACTCCTGCAAAATCCTGCAGGACACAACACAGGCCTCGTGGGATTCTCGAATGGACCGGCAATTTGGGGCCCAACGCTGGGATATACGACGGGGGGAATCCATCCTGGAGACGGGTGCGTCCGAATAGCCCCCGCGGGGTGTATCCCAAGGTTTCCCCATGTTTCTGAGCGGCCAATTTTTGTCGGGCGGAGCTCGGGGATTTGGGAAATAACAACGCCCGCGAGAAGCCTGCAGGATCCTGCGCGTTAGCCGCTAGATCAATGCAGCCACGGCCATTAAGGAAACGGTGCTTGTCCACATCCAAAGTGGGGTTGTCGTGGGGTTCCGTGTTGTGCACGCGCACGAACACCGCAATCCTCACACAGCTCACCTCGCACTCCCTCTCGTCTCACCATTTCTCACACGCACCATCACCACCATCGCCATCATCATCGCACCGCCATCACCAATACCACTATGCCATCGCGACCAGCAGCCATGGTCATCACCATCGCCACGCCATCTGTTCACACTCGCCATCACCATACGGAATCTGTCCTGCATCATCACGATCATCACGGTCGTCATCACCATCATCATCGGACACACATCTATTTTAGGAAACCTCAGGCGGGATCCTTGCCCGTGAATGGCTTGGGAAGAAATCTTCGGCGGGAGGCCCTCCTTATGGAGCCCGCAAATAACGATGTTGATTCACAGGGGTCATCGGAAAAGTGTAAGTGGCATGAATCAAGGGCTCCGTAAGCCTGCAATTATCCTGCGGGTTGCTCGTCCGTGACTGAATTGCGAAGGAGTCTCACGTGGTAGAAACCTCCCGATGGGGTACGCAAGCTACGTTATTGATCCGAGCGGGTCGGACTCCGGAATTGTCTTTACTTGTCGGTTCCCTAATCCGCAATATGGCGCACGTCCCGAACGTGAACGTCGCCACTGAATGAATGGGGAGGAAGTATCATGCGTTAGCCCCATCTCTATGAAGGCCGCAGCTCGTATTACCAATCAGAACTGGCCTTCGGACCCCTGTAACCTTCGTCGCGCTTGGGCTCTCCAATCCGGAATATGGAGGAAGTCTCGGGCGGGGGCCTCGTCTGTGAGTGTTTTGCCGAAGCGCCTCAGGCGGGAACCCCGTTTGTATAGGGTTTGCAGCTCACGTTACGAATCCGAGCGGGATGTCGAAACCTTGTAACTGTCCTCACGTTTTGGCGTTTTGAGGCTTGAGCAGTGGGAAAGTCTCTGGTGGGA